ACACACACACACACACACACACACACAAAAGCAGCCTTGTGGGGACCAATGCCAGTTCCCCATGGGTCCAAATGCAAATTACAGGTGTGGGGTTAGGTTTAGGACCAAGGTTTAGGTAAGTTTTAGTGTCAGGTAGGTAGGTACCTGTGAGGTTAATTTTAGGGTAAATTGTCAGGGTTAGGATATAAAGTCCAAAAAAATGAATGGAAGTCAATGGAAGGTTCCCACGGGGTTCAAGAACAAACGTGTGTGTACGTGTGTGCTTGCGAGTGTGTCTGAAAGTGTTATCATGAATCACCAGATGGAGCTTAACCAAACTCTCAGAAAGTAATCACAGTATCTGCAACTGATTACCTTCTGGAGTCAAATCAATTCAAGAAAGCCACAGTATCTTCATATAAAATGAGTTTATTGTTAGCTGTTGAATTAACCTCACATCTTTCCTGTTGGTCCTCAGCTTCACGCAGCCATCAATAACCAGGTGGATCCCGAGGAGCTGGGCTTGGGGCTTGGCAGCGTGCTGCTCAACAATCTCAAACAAACGGTGGTGATGCTGGCCAGTAATGCCGGTGTGCTCAACACTGTGCAAGCAGCTGCCCAGGCTGTGCTGCAGAGCGGCTGGTCAGTGCTGCTGCCTACAGCTGAGGAACGAGCCAGGGCACTGTCCTCTCTGCTGCCCAACGCTGGTGAGAACAAATCCTCACATCAGAGAGAACACACGCAAGAAGTTGTACCACTCCTTTTAACTTTGATAAAACAATTAGAAGTGAATTCAATGTTTTTATTGTGTATTTTGTTTTCCAGCATCTGGAAATGAGATGAGTGTGAGTCCCGGACGACGCTTCATGATCGACCTGCTGGTGAGCAGCTTGATGGCAGACGGAGGGTTAGAATCTGCGCTTAATGCAGCCATTACTGCTGAGATACAGGTGAGTTTTTTCACATGCATGAGAGATTCCTGCACAATGTGATAAACTTTTGTGTATTCTTCTGTTGAAGTAACACATTATTGACAAAAAATGTCTAAATATAAGCCATGTTTAACTTCAAAATAACAGCTTCTTGGATTTAACAGTTTTCTAGGAACCAAAAATCCTTTGTTTAACGCAGATTTAAGAAAGTTAGTTGTTGCTGCAGATTCTCATTGTAGGTTTAGAAGAAGGAGAGTTTGAATGGGGCTGTTATGTATTCATTTAAGAGGTTTTAATATTCTTCATGCAGCCTTTTTGTTTTATTTTTGATGGTACTCCACCAGATGGACTCCTCAACATGTTATAGGACTAGGATGCACCGATACGAAAATTTCAGACGATATCAAAATCAGATATTATTGGCCGATAACCGATATTTTTCGATATTACACAAACACACAAATTATTTATATATACCGTATTTATTCATGTATAATATGATCTCGAGTATAATACGATGATCATTTTTTGAGCTTACAAAGCTTAAAAATCTATTTACCAATAACTCATCTAAAATACTATCCCCCCACTTTATGGATGATTTTTAGGGTTAAATTTCTAGTATTATACATGAATAAATACAGTACATACGCACAAACACATTTGTGTTTTTTTTTGATACTGTGAAAAATGACCAGACCACTGACACAGCTCTACTTACAGTTATTCCTGGCTGTGCAGCGTCACTATCACTATCGCAATTAAACAGATACCACTCAACCAACCATCTTCCCTCCCAAAACAGAAAAACAAAGCTAAAAAGTAGGACGTCCATATTGGACATTAATATCGTTCCAGTTTTACTTATTGGACCGATACCGATATTCTAAAAAAAATGACCAATATCGCTTGATACCGATGCTAATGCTGATATATTGTGCATCCCTTTATAGGACGCTTCCTTCAGTTGTCCTTCTCCCACAATAAAGTGTGCCCAGACAACAAAAGAGTAGCTAAATAATATATAGTAGACTATGTCAACAAGAAAATGACTATCTTTGGCACAAGTCTTCAGATAGGCCTGGATCTTCTATGGTTTGTATCTAATTAAACAAAAAATATGATTGTTCCTAAAAACAGAGGTAGGCACATTTCTGCTCATCTTCTAACCTGCTAATAGCAAAACTAACATTTTGCTGATCCATTTAGCATTTGCATTACCTTAATAAATTAATAACAGACCAAACTCTCACTAAAATAATATTGTTTATTTTCTTTCTGCTAGAAATCCTATTAAACACATTATAATATTCTTGATAAACTCAACAATGTTGACTTTCAAATGCACCAGCAACATGCTTGATAAAGCTGTGCCAGGAGTCACCTGTGACATCATCCCTATGCCAAGGAGATATTTCTGTGTTCAGAGCCTCCTCTTTACAGACCAAATATATCTGACTCGTGGTTTCAGTTTACAGGCAAAAATATAGACTTTATATATTTGGTTGGCTGTTGTGAAGGAGTTTCTCTTCAGGATGGAAATTATTCTTCAGTCATCCACCACTGTTGTCTTTCTTTCTTTCTTTCTTTCTTTCTTTCTTTCTTTC